AATGGCAACAAACTATAAATGATTCGAAATGAGCACAGATCGACGACGAGGACGACTGTGCCACTGTTTTTCACCTTTATATGAAAATCAAATGTGTGTATTCGACTCCATTGATACAATAGCAAAATAACAATGACAATAAGCAGCAAAACACCATTTGGTAGAGAAAATATATATATATATCACGACACCGAACTAAAAAAGTGTACAAACGTAAGTGGAAATTAAATGAAGAGTGCGATTTGTTCGGCAGCAAAAAAGTTCAGCAGCGACACGAGCTATACAATACAATACAGCAAAATTCACCACCGAGATATCAAGGGAGAGAGAGAAAGAGAGCGAGGAAAAAACACAATTCGAAAGCAACAGCAATAACAGCAACGCGAAAAAAGTGGGTAAGTTTAGTATAAAGAACACATACAACACACATATCAATACAACCTCCACGATCAAACGATATTTTCGCCTTATATACTACGGTCGATCCGAGGCAAATGTTTCAACCACATTTTAGAGCTACTCCTCTCCCAAACTGGATGGAAATGCATGCTTTTTTCACAACTTCGATTATTATTCGAGCTAAACGTGTGCGTATGTTGTACGTTTGCCTGCCCGATTTAAATGATTCCATCTTTAATAGAAACTCGTTTTGTATTTTTTTTGGCAAGGATCATTGTTAGAAAGAAATGTGAAATCTGACAACCAATCGAACATTTCCATCTGAATATTATTTTGCAACCATTGGAGAGCGTTTGGTATAGACTATAAATAAAATGCTCAGTAAAATAAATATTTGGTAAATATCATCGAATTTGAGGTATGTGTAACTGTTAGACGTCTTATTTGAAGAGTTCAATTTCGGTTTCAGTGTCAAATTATTGTTTTTCTGGTAATAAATGACGTTGTTCTATTGTTTGTCTCATTTTGTGCGAAAGTTGAATTTTTGAATCGTGAGAAATGTGCTGTATATTTGTCTTTGTGTACAAATTTCACAGCCAACGAGCCTTCCCATCGTCTTAAGTCGAAGTTGAAAATGTTAAATGTTGCATATCAATTATGGCCCAAGTCTCTTGGCGGAATCTATTGAACAATATTTTTTTTCTTTTGAAAAGAGGAAGAGAGTATGGTTACGCAATATCGGCTCGACACATATTCACAAAGGATGGAAAAATGCTCTCACAGAAGTAAAAATAAATACTGCATTGAGGCAAAAAAAAAGAACCAGCAGTCGCTGTGAACGTAGTTATTTGTATATGCCTACTGAAATAAGGACCGCCCACTTTTTTTCTGTACGTGTACACACATTTCAGCAGCACATATCCATGAGCATCGTCACCAGCGAATACAATTTTGGTAGGCTTACATTCTGAGTACATGCATGTTATGATGCCACTCTAGTTCCTGTGTACTGTGTTTTTGTTGTTGTCGATGTGGTTTTTGCCGTTTTTTTCTCTCCGTTTTCATTCATACATTCATTTAGAGCAACGTCGAAAGATTCTTGCACACAACCCATTACATAACCAATACTTAACCACAAAGAATCTCCTCATTAAATACTACTAATGGGTTTTGCAGGTAGAAATAATTCGGCTTTACCAATGGAATTTCATTTGATATTTCATATCAATATTTCTGGCAAAATCCAGTTTTTTGCAAATGATATTAAACGTTCAATTCAAATGATATGGTCATTTAATCAGAATGATTTTTCAGTTTTAATCGGCTTGTTCATAAGCATCTCTCGCTAAACCATTTCACTTCTTTCATTTTTGCAACTTTAACATCCTTTTCTTAGCCGATTTCCTTTTTTTTTTTTAATAAAAATTAACAAAAAATAAGTTTTATTTTCCTTTTCCGTCTTCAATTGACTACAGAATTGGAACGAAATGAAGCTCTAATAAGAACGATACTGTTGTTGCTCCCCAGCGCCATCTCTTGCGTGGAAGCGTACTTACCGTTAATTCATATTGGATTGCCACTCAGCTAGAACATTCATCCTATTTTTATTGTGAACATCAAAGTGGTTTGCTACTCAAATGCTTTACATCTTTCAAAAAATCCACATGAAATTTTCTAAATCATTTAATATCACAAATCAAATCAATAACGTTGCAATTCCACTTCATACTGGATTCAAACTGCTCACATCCACACAAATACACATAGCAAAAAATAAGAAGTGAAGCAACAAGAAAAATTCATTGTGCCCAATTATTGAATTATTATCAAAAAGAATGGTCTCGCAAAAAACGGGGCAAAATCGAAGAAAATATGTCGCCAGTTGAAAACAAGAAAAAAAGTGATCCGTGCACGGAACAGCCGACAAAACGAATAACGGACGATAGCTGGCCATGAATGACGCACACAGGACACAACACATATATGAAAAAATGAACTATGAAATTGTGATAGCAATGTGTCAATATCAATTCTACAAATTTTTCGTGAGTTGAATTAAATAACAATAATGATATGATTTGATGAGTGAATGGCAAAGAACTAAAATGACTAGCAAATTGTTGTTTTGGTTCGAATTTCGCCAAATTTCAAGCTTTTAGACGAACAATCACTTTGATTTACGCAGACTCTGATCGAACGACGGTTGATGCTCAAAAAGTATTGACACAGTTTTGTTTTGCTGAACTCAATTTTTTTCGATCGATCTACGATTCATTGCAGCAAAACAACGAACGAAACAAATTGTTGTGTACAATTTTGAACGGAGACAAAGGATTGCCTTTGTTTGGGTTCTGTAGAAAAATTGCCGCGCAATACAAACATTGACATTTAATCGGCTGGTCTCTAAATTGTGTCATATCTCCTGAATCAAGCGTGATTTAATCTAGAAGAAGAGTGAAAAAATCATCAAATTGGCGCGTTTTCCATTCTCATTATCGGCGACACCGTTTCCCATCATTCAAATGCGATAATTTGATTGAAACGTAAAACCCGAAGAGAACTGGGAGACGACGACGACTACAGTGACAATGATGATGACGATGCGGGCAAAAAAGAGCTCATTTCAGGCTGCTCAACATTTTTCCGTTCCTACACGTTTGATGTATGTAAAGGAGCGCGCACTACGTGCGTCCGTGTACAGTACATTCATAAATACGATGATCATTGGTGGCTGTTCACGTGATCTCGTTCACACGTTGTTTACGCTAAATGCTGACTAGACTGAACTAGAGTATTTACTCGCTTTTCTGTCAACATTAAATATAAACATGATTTTTTTGCACCGACCAATACTACCACAAGGTCATGCCACTTCGGTTATGTCAAGTTCAAGTTTTGTTCAAATTAACCAGCTCATTAAAATGAAATTAAAGGGAAAAAAATTAACGTAAAGGAAGGCGAAGAGAATACCTTGCTTCGCGATTTGAATGAAAATTCATCATTACGATTTAATGTCGTCGCCAATCAAAGTCGGTTGACAAATTTTAGTGGTTGATAATGCAGGGCGATAATACTCAAAAAAAAAACGAACATTCATCCCAGCAAAAAAGACGCCAATGATCTCCATTTTAAATCGTATCAATTGCTCTGCGAACACCAAGGAACTAGTAACAGTGCAAAAATGACGACGTCACAACGGAATACATCAAATGAATTCTCGGCTAGTCACTGTCCAATGATAACCCCAAAGTCAGGCTACGTTCTATTCAACCTACCATAAAACGAAAAAAGAATACGTTTTAAATATATAAGATTCTTGAATAAAAAACAACAGTGACAAGAAAAAAAAACGAATCTTAAGCTTAAGTAACCAATTTGTGTGACATCATGCGTTAGATCGGTGCAAAAGCATTTGTTCCAGGAAGTGACGAATTCAAGCCGATCCATTTTGATCTTGATTTGCAATCAGACAATTCGGAAGTGAATACAATGAACTGAAACTGATACACAAATGTTCAATGACAACGTTTTTTTTCTGACCAAACAAAAAGAAACAATTATATCAATCACATGTTCACTCGAATGTGAGGATTCGGTTCCGTAACGTAAGCGACTGTCGCTTTAAAGTAGATATTTCATAGCGGCGACCCAAAGAATACGACTGGTGACTGAATGTCTGCCGTGTGAATGAAATTTTCCGAAAATAACCAGTCACGCCGTATACTCTTGCTGTGAGGGGTATATAGTGAACGAAAAAGGCGAGCGCATGCGGCCAAAAATATCTCGAGATTAAAACACAAATTAAGTTAGTAAAATCGTTTGATATGAGAATCGCGTAACGGCGGTATGCCGATGCATGTCGCTGTATTAATCCTATGTCGAATTTTTTCAAACACGTTTGATTATGAACGATCGTGGTTTTTTTTATCTTTGAGTAGCGTTAGACGCTATCAAATCCAATTCGTGTTTTGTGTGATTCATTATCTGGCAAAATCACCGGCCGCCAAATTTGTATCAACGTGGAAAAGTACATCGTACGCGTTGCGCGTAATGCGCACTTCCACATTTGCCATCAAGGAGAAAAGGTGAGGTAGATGTTTTCCATACAGTGAAACCAAAACCTATTGTTTTGATATTGATAAGTGTAGCCCGAAAAGGTGTTGATAAAATAAATTGTCTGAATTTTCCAGCAATTGTTTACACAATGAATGAATGACTAATTTTCGGTGGAATTCTCGTTACAAGGGCAACAGCAAAAAAAAACTCCAATACCTAGAACATTCCACCCGGTTGTGTCATTCAATTGGGAAATATTCACTGATTACGACATGACAACCGCACACAAGAACAATAACAAAACTTGCTTTAAATTGAACAAAAACAAAAGCAGATAATGGCCAAACATTTGGACTTACTATCAAAATAAGGTTTGGTGTGTGCAAAGATGAACCGCATATTCAAATACTAATACAATTCATCACATTGATTTCAACCCATACAATTGCTATCAATTTCCCTATGTATTGGCCGATCGGTTTATCAGTTTATCAGTTCAAAAGCCGAAATGAGTGAAAATCAACAGGCATACGAGCGCCTGAAACAAACAACTCTTGTTTTACAACGGACACACAATGAAAAGCTGTATCACGCCGTTCAGTTGTGGTATTGTGAGTCTGATTCGGTGCACACTGTTTTGAGTTTGTTCGTTTGAGCCTATTTTGTTGATGCACATTTCAGTGAGATAACGGCCGCGTTTCTTTTTTGTTTCTCTCTCTCTACTGTATTTAATGATTAAATTTGGAAATACTTTGGTGGTGCGGTCCACAAACACAGAGACTGGATTGATTGTGCGAGTGTCCGTGAAAGTGATCAAGAGAATGTATAGATCCGCGTTTGTGTGCCAATTTATTCACACCCATTAACACTGACAACATTATCGTGGTGTCTGTGACATGTATTCCATTGTCGTTGTTTAATTCTCGGCCTGCAGTAATCAGTGATCGTTAATGTCCTTTCGAGCATCTCACTCATTTCGCTCAGTTTGATTATGTCGTTTCATCGATAAACATCACATAATTCGACGACTCGTCTCACTTCTTCAACGATTTTTCGTTGCACAAGTTCTAAATCGAAACATATTTTCTGAAGAAAAATAAACTGACAAAAGTTTTCAAGTGCTTTTTAATCAATGACAAATTTACAAGCCTTAATAGTTTGTTAAACAAAAAGAAGGATAAAATCAAAACGACATTGAACGAAAAATTTGAAAAAAAATTATTTTTCCAACGAAGTGAATTGTGACAAAATTGTATTTTATATCCCTAAAAATTATTTGAAAACAAAATTAAAGCGAAATAGAAAGAAAAAATGGTTGAACCACAGATTACGGTGACTCAGAGTGAGCCAACGATAAAAGCCAGCATGATCGTTGTGTCGAATCGTTTGCCATTTGTACTGAAGAAAGATCCAAAAACTGGTGAACTTTCACGTTGTGCCAGGTAATTTGCAGTGGAAAATTTTTCTTTTTCCGCCACATTCGATTAATATGAACAAAACAAACTTAAGTACATCCAATCATCCCACATCAACTAATAATATTACTGCATGTGATATTATAATATGACTCATTCAAAAATATAATAAAATATAACAATGACAGAAACAAAATCGATGTATTATGCGATAATGTGTAACAGATTCGTACAGTCGTTATCTGAAGAATTTCCATAATGCATTTATGACAATAAAAAACACGTAGATAAAGAATTCTTCTGCTATTACGTATTGCTTACATCTCTTATCACTGAATGATCACGCTTTAGTTTTCATCTCTTGCCGGGCTTATCCAAACAGTGGGGGTTCTTCTTCGTTCCTTCGATAAAAATAGCTTAAAGTTTAAGGTCAAAATGGTTTAAATGGTTATTTTATAAGCATGATGTGTTCACGGGTGTGTGAAAATCACGGGTTTCGTTTTTGTTTTTCTGTTTTTTGTACCGAAATTTTGAAAAAAAAATATATCATATCACTCATTATCTAGCCGTATCAGACACCAATTGAGACAGTTACAAAACAAAACAATACTCGCTAAGCTATATACTAAATGTGATTACTGTTTTGCTCGTTTCAGCGCTGGTGGTTTGGTAACAGCTGTTGCTCCAGTTGTAATAAAAGGTAACGGTTTATGGGTTGGATGGCCAGGTATTCATAGCAAAGAGCCATTGGGCGAAATTCCTGAATCAGATCCAAGCGATCAAACTCCAACTGCTGGCTTACGTTCGGATCAGGTAATATTTTTTTCTATCTTAATGCATAAGAAAACCGCTTGCTTCGCAGATTTTATAACCTTCAAATAGTAAAAAAAATGTCTTCGTTTTTTTCTCTCTCGATGCTATGCAAAAAAACCAGTCAATGACAGATAGCTGAGGATATATGTTTAGCATAGAAACTCAGTAGGCTGAGATGGGACATTTTGACTTTATGACGTGTAGTCCATATAAATGCATGATGAAATGCACGAAATTGTATGCGTGCCATCATAAATTTGTATGGACTACACGTCATAAAGTCAAAATGTCCCAATCTCAGCTTACTGAGTTTCTATGCTCAGCATATATCCTCAGCTATCTGTCATTGACTGAAAAAAACGGTTCTGATTAAATAATAATGAATCGGTTGCTTCATCTTCTGTCGCGTCTAATCTTTGAACTAATCTCCGTTGAATCGAAATAAAATGGTTAGTGATAATAAATTACTGTGCCATTTGATGCAATTGAAATAAGAAATAAATGAGGGATTTTAATGAAAACATCGAGCACAAAAAATCCAAAATATCATGATACACGTCAGCCTGATTAAATCACTTTTCTTACGTGATCAGTAGTTTTTTTTCCGCATCGTTATAGTTTTCACTACGTTTCATTTAATACCAAATTATGTAATCAAAACATGTGAACTGTTCATTTGAAGTCAGCATTTTCATTTGTTGATATTGTGAAATGATCGCTGGAAAGAAGAAAAACAGTTGTAATTCGCTTCCTCTATCAGTATTTTTCATTGCTCGGATTCTGGGAATGGTTGAAATTATGCAAACAAACTCGTCATGTCTGTTTTCTGTTTGATTTGTTGGCGACAAAAACTGACCCCTCATTTTGGGTTACATGTATAGTAATTATCGCTTATTTGCTCGTGAACTAAGCCACTTTTGTCATCGAAAAATTGTCTAATCATTACGCCGATGCGATAGCATAAACGAATGAGTGTGAGAATACCAAATGGGCAGACAGAGATGGATGCGAATTGTGTGTAGGAAACTATATCAATTTTGGATAATGAACGCATGTGTGAATGTGTGTGCGTTTGTGCAATTGTTGAACTTTAAATCGATGATTTCAATAGTCCCTTTTAATTTTATTTTTCGTTCGATATTCCGAATTAATCGTGTATGCAGAAAATAAATGAGCATCTGCAAGATAGCTTGCGTAAACAAGCGACGACAATAGCAGCGCGACACGATGAGCGAGAGATGAACGGACCAAAACAGACAAGACAGTTCAGAAACATGAAAAAATTGAAATTCAATTGATAAATCCTTATCATTTCCAACAAAGATGAAGTGCGCGACCGCGCACACACACATTCGCACACGATCTGGGCGAACTCACTGAACTGAAGAGTGAGAAGAAGAAAAAATAACATCGTGTTGTTGTTTGTTACACAAAATGTAAAATAGAAAAGCAGGCGATGTGAAAGACGCACGCTTATTCTTTTTTAATCAATTGATGCGACTGTAGACACTGTCGCTTTTTTTCGCCAGGCAAAACAGAGAGCGGTCGTTCATTCGGCTGCTTTAATCGGTATCGCGAGAGTATTTTGGTCCAGCTCTCCAGAATATTTTTATGCTGTACGTTAATGGCGCGTGAACTGTGTAACCTGCGGCAGACACACCACACTGCATAATCTATATGGCTATCGATATCTTACGTCGCATTGTCACTCGTTTTCCACATATATGTATGATGAATTGATATTGCGTTGGCCATGTAACCGAGATTTTTGCGTTGCCCCTTGATCGCAAAAAGCGAGTGTTTTTTTGCTCTCGCTTTCCTTTTTTCCGCGTTTTCATTTTTACTTTCGAAATCAGTTCGAACGACAAAAACAAAATAAGTTGTAAACACAAACTTACGCAACTTGAAAAATTGTATCGGTTTTTTTTCTTCTGTTTCTCTTTTTTGTGAAAATGTTTGATAGGTGGTTTGCGTTGAGGCGAATCCAACTGAATTCGATTCATATTATAATGGATGCTGTAATGGTACTTTTTGGCCACTTTTCCACTCAATGCCAGGTAATTTATTTGTAGGAAATATTTATTTATTTTAAAAAAAATGTTTGCACGAAAAATGATTTGAGTTTCAATGACACGCAATAGACGTGCTATTGTACTTTTGCTGTTGAATGGGATGTTGTATTTTGAGAACCGTATTGGAATAGATTTGCGTATCGGCACAAGCCTGTGACAGTATGTGTGTATGTGAGAAATGTCAAACTGTCGACTTTTGGTGCAATACTCTCTATTCAGACCATTCATAACATAACCTCAAATTGCAGGTCGTGCCGCATTCTCAGCCGATGACTGGCGAAACTATGTCAAAGTCAACAAATTGTTTGCAATGAAAACGATCGAAGCCTTGGAAAAGTGTCACAAACGAAACACAGCCAGTCAAAACGTTCCGATCGTATGGATTCACGATTATCAACTGATGTTGGCTGCTAATTGGGTGCGCGAAGCTGCAGAAGAGAGAAATTTACCATGTCAATTGGCATTTTTCTTGCACATTCCATTCCCACCATGGGACATCTTCCGTTTGTTCCCATGGGCCGATGAAATTCTTCAAGGCATTTTGAGCTGTGATATGGTCGGTTTTCATATTCGCGACTATTGCTTGAACTTTGTTGATTGCTGTCAACGGCATTTGGGATGCCGTGTTGATCGCAAAAATCTTTTGGTTGAACAGAATGGCCGTTCAGTTCGGGTTCGACCACTTCCAATCGGAATCCCATTCGATCGTTTCGTCGATTTAGCCAGAGGCGCCAAGAAGATATTCAAAACACAACAGAAAATCATTCTCGGCGTTGACAGGTGAGATATAAGATTGAGTAATTATTATTTTTAGTACAATTGAGGATCAAAAACACGATGAAAATATTCATTTTTAAATTTAAACTCGACTTCAAAACTCTCATGACCAAACACAATTAATGATATTGATTTCTTTGCCTTAATTGCCATTCTTCTTAGATTGGATTACACAAAAGGTTTGGTGAATCGCTTAAAAGCGTTCGAAGTTTTGTTGGAGAAGCATCCAGAGCACCGTGAACAAGTTTCATTGTTGCAGATTTCGGTACCATCACGTACCGATGTGTCGGAATACCAGCAGCTCAAAGAAGAAATGGATCAATTAGTCGGTAGAATAAATGGTCGATTCACCACCGCCAACTGGTCGCCAATCCGTTACATTTTCGGTTGTGTTGGACAACAAGAGCTTGCCGCTTACTATCGTGATGCTGACGTCGCTTTGGTCACACCATTGCGAGATGGTATGAATTTAGTGGCCAAAGAATTTGTTGCATGTCAAATCAATCAACCGCCGGGTGTTCTGATTGTTTCCCCATTCGCTGGTGCTGGTGAGATGATGCACGAAGCTTTGCTTTGCAATCCATATGAAATTGATGAGGCTGCTGAGGTTATTCATCGTGCGTTGACGATGCCAGAAGATGAGAGATCATTGCGAATGAACCGCTTGAGGCGTCGTGAAATGGAGTGTGATGTTAATTTCTGGATGCGATCATTCTTGAAAGCAATGGGTTCGATCGAAGAGGACGATGTTGGTGTCACAAGAATGCAACCAGTTTCGGTTGATGACTTTGACTATTTGCTCAATTATATCGGATACAATCAAAAGTTGGCATTGTTACTTGATTACGATGGTACTCTTGCACCGATTGCACCACATCCAGATCTGGCCATTTTGCCACACGAAACCAAAAATGTGATCCAACGATTGTCGAACCACTCAGATGTATTTGTAGCTGTAATCTCAGGCAGAAATGTCGAAAATGTAAAGAAAATGGTTGGAATCGAAGGGATCACATATGCTGGTAATCATGGTTTGGAAATTCTTCACGCTGACGGGAGCAAATTCGTTCATCCATTGCCAATGCAGTACGAAGATAAAGTCAGTGATTTGCTTAAAGCGCTACAAGAATCGGTGGGATGGATAACTTTTAAAGTTCAAAATGAAGATTTAAAAAATCGAAGGAATTGCTCATCCGGAAAATTCTTTCTACATTTGTAGGTTTGCAGAGATGGCGCTTGGGTTGAAAATAAAGGTCCATTGTTGACTTTCCATTACCGTGATACACCCAACGAATTGAGACAGGAGCTAGTCGAAAAAACTAAAAGCATCATTGAAGCATTCGGTTTCAATGCCACTGAATCGCAATGTGCCATTGAAGCGAAACCACCGGTTCAATGGAATAAAGGTAAGAAGAATTGAATTTTTGTAAACATTTGCAACATTGAAAATGGTTCCAAGTAAATAAAATCTTCGAATTTTACCAAAGGTCGTGCTTCGATTTACATTTTGCGAACGGCATTCGGTGTCGATTGGTCGGAACGTATCAAAATTATTTACGCTGGTGACGACGCAACCGATGAAGATGCCATGTTGGTATGTATTCAGCACATCCATTTACAATTTCTTTGATAGAATAACTTTTCCCACATCTTGACCACATTTTCACACTCTCGATTGCAATTGCAGGCGCTCAAAGGTATGGCAGCTACATTCCGTGTTACATCATCGCATATTGTGAAAACATCAGCCGAGCATCGTTTGCCATCGACAGATTCCGTACTCACAATGTGAGTATATACTTTACTTACTTTTTACTTTTTATTGGTTTTACTAGCCAAAATTTCATGATATCTCCTCTTTCGGACCACTATAACGTCACGTCAAACTTCAAAAAGCACATATCTGTACACTAGGCAATGTATATGGGATGAAATCCTATCGATCAAGACTTATATGCCTCCAAAAATACGTTGTTTACTATGAAAAATGTGTAAAATAGCGATGTGCGTATGGCGTCGTCCGCGTTCGCGTCCGCGTTTTTTGTTCGCCGAATATCTCAAAAAAAATGACAAGGTAATTGAGATCTGTAAAAGCCAAAAGTTTTGGCATGTCGAGACAAAGCTTCGGATTGATTTTGAGCCCATTCTGATTTACCAATTTTGTACCATAAGCCTACGACTGAGGACCTGAAAAACCTTGAAAAATGACACTTTTGTACGGGAAGTACCCGAAAAAAGCATTTTTCAGGGTTTCAAGCCAAACTGCCATTTTTTTGCAAAAATAATGGGAGTCTGTGAACAACCGAACACCTACTTGCCCATAAATTTGGTCCAAAATCGACATTTCTTGAAATTTTCCTCGAAAAATGGACTTTTGTATGAAAAATCATACAGAAAGCCATTTTTTAGGGTTTTGGTCAGAACTGATTTTTTTTTTGCAAAAATAATGGGAGCCTTCAAACAACCGAACACCTACTTGCCCATAAATTTGGTCCGAAATCAACATTTCTTGAAATTTTTGAAATTTTGTTCGAAAATGACACTTTTGTATGGAAAATGGTCGAAATAGTTATATTTTAAGGTCAAAAATGCTATGAAAAAAGGATCCATTGAAATTTTGGTTAAACATTAAGCGGGAGGTAAACTAAATTGCTGCGGAGCGGAAAAGTTTGGATTACGTATGTAATTCGTTTTATTTTCAATTCTTCTTATCTTTTTGCAGGTTAAAATGGGTTGAACGGCATGTGATGCGACGCAAACCACGAGCCAATTCACTAACCTACCGCCACAAAAAGAATGATGGTGTCACAATGCAGGTATCGTTCGATATGGCACGACTGGCTCTTCAAAATTCCGCCGCAAACAGCAATTGTAATAGCAATCACAATAGCGGTTCCGAGGATGATTTGGTTTAGCACATTTTCACATATATTCATTTACAAATTGAAAGAGAATCCTACTTGTTGAGATGTTGTTCGCAGTAAACTCAGTTTAGATGCTCTTTCCACTCAAACTTTATTTGTTAAGTGTGTAGTTAATGTTATTTTTAAAGAGAAAAAAATCGATAAAAAACAATTCACATAGTTTAGTAATAGATTACGAGTTAGCACTAGTCTGAACAAATTTTTATGGAAAACAAAAGGAAAATATTGAATAAACGAATTTTGATATACTTTGCTAAAGCGTTGTCTTTGATTCTATTGAAAGATTGGATATTGTTCACATTACTGGCGAATTCCCGGGTATATATTCAATTTCATTTTGTCTGCATAGCAATTACGACTCTTCTCTTACACTAACTCGCAAAAAAATCGGTTGACTTGAAAGGACAGTATCAACAGAGACCATTTCTTGGACTTTGATTTGTTGACTCAATTGTTTTCCAAAAACTGGAAAAAAAATCTACTTTTTATTTAGTCTATGATCTGCTCGTCGCACACATCATGTCACACACGTCGTCGTTCCATCCGTGTTCTCAATTTGGAATTCTTATTGACAACAGTGAAAATCTGTACAATGATTAACACGTCAACCCTGCCCATAAGATACACATTAAAAAGTCCATGTTTGCTTTCCTTTGCCAATATTTTGTGTTTATCGCGTTATCATTTTTTTTTTTGCATACATAAATCGTCTTCCGTCATTGCATTTTATTCAAAATGAATATAAAAAATGGTGTTGCACTCTGATGAACAATAATAAATAAAATATAAGAACATATTACTGTCATTCGTTCGGCTTTAATTCAACATTTACAACTGTTTACAGAATTCAGCCGTTTATTCTATGGATGGTATATAGCAATAAACGATATAATGTGTAAATACGTGTGTTATCACACTGCAATTATGAATACAATTGGTCTATTTTTATTTCGTATTAATCAATGCAACCAACGTCTATTTAAACTTTGGACGGCTCGTTTGTTTGCTGCTGTTCATTGACCATAGAAGAGGGTGTGTGTTTACTCTGATGGGCACCATTTTTCTAATCACTTCGTCGCCGGCATTTTAAAATTCAACAGATTGCAAAGCGGTTAAATTGGATTTGTCACAAAAATGAAGTGATATAGGAATATGGTTGATCAACCATAATCAATTGTGTTTATTTTATGATAGGAAATATAAATAGTTTCGTCATTTTTGTTGGCATTGAACTAATCAAAATACGTTATGCTTTGCTCATAACCACCATGATAATTCCACAAATATTGAACGAAAACAACTATAAAATCAGGCAGTTAATTGAAACCTTCGATCAAATTATTTGTATAATCTTTGAATGGATTCTGGGTCTCTCAGAAAGAGGAAAATAATCTATGAATCGATAAGTTTGGATCACGTTTGAAATTTTTCTTGCCACAGATAAATAACTCTCAACAGATATAATTAATTACCACATCAATTCAAAGACTCAATTTGCACTGGTTTGATAACGGCAAATATGACTGGCTGCTACTTGAGTACGGTAAGTTCCAATTATATATGTTTAGGCACTGTTTTCAGAGCAATAACTAATATTTTGACTTTATCCAGCGTACTAACTGGACGAATCCGAAGAGGCTGCAATCGTGATTTGATTTCATTCCAATTAAGCGATTGAAGGCATCCAAACAATGATAAGTGCAAAAAGTGCGGGGGTAGAAATTGTAATTTGAAAAAAAATTCCAGGAGTGTATTCACTGTAACAGCAGAGAAAATATCGAATGCTTACGAAATGGAACTGTGCAAACATCACACATGTGTGAGAATTATTCGAGGGATTTAATTCTTGAATGAACTGTTTGAGGTGTGCCAATGCACAGACAATAAATGCAACACAGACATTTTCCCACCGAATCGTCTTCAGTGCTATAGTTGCGAAGGTAAGGTATTTATGTAAGAAAACCAGTAGAATTAAAAATTCTTGCAAACGATTTTGAGAATAATATGGTGCTTTTCAATCGAAATAATTGACTGTGACATTTGTGGAATTTACACTATTATATACGGAAAAAACGCAAAATTTAAACAGATTAAATCTGTTTGTCGGTGATATCAACATAAATATGAACGAAAAAATAGTACAACCATTCAAATGAACGAAATTTTGGACAAACATGGTCATGATATGATAGTGCATTTTAACACAAGAATAACAAATGAAACACAGTCCTTAATTGATCTCGTAACAACAAATGAAAAAGAGAGAGTTAAATGTGAAGCACTGCCGAACGAAAAAAATAAGTGACCATGAAACAATCTTGGTTAATATAAGTAAAGTATGTGCAAAAGAAGTCGTTAACGAAACTGTGATGTCCTGGACGAATTACGATAAAGAAAAGTTGCTATTCAAATAAAGACATTGTGATTGGTCCAATTTTACATTTTTAAATATTAATGATAATCTAGATAATTAAAGATATAATTTAATTTCATTGGTCGACCCGCTAATAAAACATGTGATAATAAAAAACACAATAAAGCCAAGTAAATGGTTCGATGGTGAACTTTTCCATCTAAAAAAACATAAAATACAATACAATACAATATTTGCCGCATCATCGACAGATTCGACTGAATTTGTTCGTACGAATGATTGTTAATAAATATGTTCTTGAGCGACGTGAAAACCGATAAATCAACAAACAATTGAATCACACCTTATTGTTTTCACTAATTCAATATTTTCAATTCATTTAAAACAATAGAATTTGAAAAGAGTACCTTGAATGCATTTCGGTACTATCGCACCATCATCAGCATCACGACTAAACAGAAAAGTCGTCGGTTGTCACGCAAAAACATCGGTCGGTGCAGCATCATAGTAAACGAGACAGCAAATTTGACTCGATGTTCCCGTTATCCAGATTCAATGCGTTGTTGCTCCTCTGAATAAAGTAACTTTCGTATGCGTCTAATTTGCGCGCGTCGCCTATCTCTTTCACCAGCCGTAAGTTGCTTATGTCGATATTCAAATGACCGCTGTTCAATGCATGTAATGCTAAGGCAGAGCGGTAGCCCTGTTTGTTTTTTATGCACAAACAATGTTCACGGAAACGAACTGAAATGTTACGTTTCGTTTGTCCAATGTATTCACACATACAAACGGGGCACTGAATAGCATAAATGCCAGATTTATGCAAAGAATCAATTGTGTCTTTGGTTGAGTGGGTTTGTGGTAAATGGCAATATCAATTTTATTGTCCACAGAAGTTGACAATTCCATGTCCAAAAACGATAATTTACACTTATCATTCTCCCTCTCACACGTAAATTTAATCGAATCGAATCGATTATTGAGCACGTTTAACACTGAGTCAATTTCGTCTTTCTTTATTATCGCGAAAACATCGTCTACATATCTCCACCAGATTCTGGGAAGCAAGTTTTCTTGTTTTAATTTTCGTTCGAATGCCGACATGAATAACTCACTAATCAATGGGCTAAGCGGATTTCCCATGTTAGTTCCAGTCGACACATGATAAAACGAATCACGAAATTGAAAATAACTATGATCCATACACATACGTGCTGCTTGGTAATAAACTGATTTTTGTTCGAATGGAATATCAATTTGCTCTAAATATTTTTCAAATTCCTTCAATGCAACATCAATTGGAATACTTGGAAATAAAGAACACACATCAAATGAAATTTTAGTCTCATCACAATTCACAACAACATTTTCAATTTTTTCAGCGAAGTCAATTGAGTTTCTGACTGAAAAACTCTCAAAAGGTGGCAGTGTGTTATTCATGTCGGCATTCGAACGAAAATTAAAACAAGAAAACTTGCTTCCCAGAATCTAGTGGAGATATGTAGACGATGTTTTCACGATAATAAAGAAAGACGAAATTGACTCAGTGTTAAACGTGCTCAATAATCGATTCGATTCGATTAAATTTACGTGTGAGAGGGAGAATGATAAGTGTAAATTATCGTTTTTGGACATGGAATTGTCAACTTCTGTGGACAATAAAATTGATATTGCCATTTACCACAAACCCACTGACACCTTGAGAACAATAACTAGTGATTCAAACTGTAGCATGCAAATTGCGAAAATAAATGGCTTCAAAGGAGATTTGGTCGACGTGTTGATAAAAAAACATTTAGACAAAATAAACAAATTTAATTTATCGACATTGTTTTCGCAAAACACGCCAGAAGTGGAAAGAGTTAGAGTTGCTTTGCCATATATCCCACAAATTATGAACAAGATTAAAAATAAGTTTCGTGAATATAATTTAACCATTGTGTATACGAATCAAACCAAAATAATGAATTTGTTGGGTTCAACCAAAGACACAATTGATTCTTTGCATAAATCTGGCATTTATGCTATTCAGTGCCCCGTTTGTATGTGTGAATACATTGGACAAACGAAACGTAACATTTCAGTTCGTTTCCGTGAACATTGTTTGTGCATAAAAAACAAACAGGGCTACCGCTCTGCCTTAGCATTACATGCATTGAACAGCGGTCATTTGAATATCGACATAAGCAACTTACGGCTGGTGAAAGAGATAGGCGACGCACGCAAATTAGACGCATACGAAAGTTACTTTATTCAGAGGAGCAACAACGCATTGAATCTGGATAACGGGAACATCGAGTCAAATTTGCTGTCTCGTTTACTATGATGCTGCACCGACCGATGTTTTTGCGTGACAACCGACGACTTTTCTGTTTAGTCGTGATGCTGATGATGGTGCGATAGTACCGAAATGCATTCAAGGTACTCTTTTCAAATTCTTTTGTTTTAAATGAATTCTACCACTATAAACGTCAGCGATCAACATCAACAGAGACACTATAGCATATAGCATTAAACGCACTATTGCTTCACTCTTTGTATACACTTTGACATCACTTATGCTTTGGCGCGCGTCTTACGTTTTTCAAACGTTTATGTTTGATTCAAGTATTTCACCGACTTCACCGAATTTTCTTACTCAATATCAATATGTTCATTCTTACTTGGAAGTTTTTTTTTATTGCAATGATGTTTTAAAATATATTTTGTCGAGAAATATTTTTTTTTTCAATTTCCAAAATTAAATGAAATCAAAACACATAACATGAAACGCATTCATAGCGAAATGCATATGTATTAGTTTGTACTTATTCATTATAATGATGTATTTAGATAGGACGCTAGCGCGGCCTGAATGAATTGAAAATATTGAATTAGTGAAAAC